GAGTATCAACACAGCTATTTTTAGATGAAAAAACTTGTTTTAAATCTTTTATCTCTTATCTTAAACAAGCGTTATCCGACCTGTGCGCAATATTAGATAACTTTGCGCGTCAATAAAAAAATCAGCGTTTGTCGTACGAAAAAAATACAGGGGTCCTTTTTTGTTGCAAATTTTGTCCACAACAAGATACATATGATAAAATTCGTCTCAAATAAATTCTAAGGCCTGAAAACAGCGAAAAACTAAGACTATTCCAAAAAATCAAAATTTTTTGCTTACATAGCTACAAACTAAAGAAAAAGAGTCTAAAAAATCGGTTACACCATGAAAAGTATTCTTTGTAGTTCTCAGATGATGTGTAATTTTTGGGGTATTTTTAATTCCATTTTAAATAACAGAAAAAAATCACCGGCGCAACATAAAAAAAAACGATGAAATCGAGGGTTTTCGGGATCCGAGTCTCGAACTTTGACGGCGCGTGCAAGCTAAACGACTTACTTGACGATAAATGTTGTTCAGATCATTATTGTAAATAATTTTACGCTCTACAAAAAAGGTACGTATAGTTAGTTACCCTATCTTGCTTAGTTTTCGAGATATTTGAGAAAAAATAAAAAAAATCGCGTTTTTTGTTAATAATATTGTTAATAACTTTTTATTGCGCATTAATTTTGCGAAGCAAAATAAATCCCACTTATAGCACCTCAAATTAAAGCGATTCATGATGGTTGCAACCTGGGAAGATAATTGGAAGGTTTTATGTCTAATATGACTGGCCTACAATAATATGTCCAACATTTATAATTACAAATAATGATAATTGAAGGATACAGGGGAAAAACAATCAAAGTCCACTTTTTGTCGAAACTGTTCATGCTATCTTGTGGCATTTTCAAAGAACTTTCTTAATTCTTATCTGTTTTGATCAAGAACAGTTACAATTCATTGAAAATAAGGCCGAAAAATGTACCGTGCTGTTGAAAAACGATAATCCACGCACTTGTGAGGAAGAACCATCAGAGTCCAACATATAATGTAAACACTAAATAAACACTATGCATTCCAATATTCCCTGACAGATTTTTTCAAAAGCTTTCTAAAATATCTGATGTCTTGAAACTCCGAATTGCGTTTTTCTCGAAATTGCTTCAGATAGACATTGATCGTTTTTCCCCTGTATATCAGAGGGGTTTAATACAAACACTAATTGCTCTGCTATGACATGCAAATGCAATCCCATAATAATATAGATATTATAAAGTAATATAATTAAAAATCCTATATTACAATACTAATAATTCATTACCTTTCCCCAAACGCTTCCTCTTTGGATCCATAAATTTATCATCGGGCTTCTCTCTTTTCTTCTTATCCTTCTTCAGATCTTCCGCGAATATTCTCGGAGGTGGTGGTGGACTTGGATTAGATATCTGTGGCGGAGGTGGTGCTTCCAAAGTTGTAGGATGTCTGTTTGCTACGTTTTCGTCATCTGCCTTATTATCATCCATCTCCTCAGCTTGCTTCACCTTCATTTTTTTTGTCTCAGGTGATCCTAACACAACAATGGTGATGAAATAGATCAAATAGTTTAGTTTACGTATTGTCTATTGATAACATATTATTGTATAGAATACCTGTGTACGTAAATGATACATACCTATGATTGATAACTCTTCTGACTCTGGTGGCGGAGTAGTGCACAATTCCATCTCCTCGGTACCACCGGCAATACCGGTGTCAGGATAAGTCCACTGTAATGTCCCAGTGGATGTATTGTGATAGTAATACCGCTTATGTGACCTAGAAAAATCCCCCGGCCAAAATGGAACACATGAGACATCAGTAATGGCAGTGTCGTTTTTTCTATTGTAATTCTCTATGTTACATTCAATACACGCTTAAATAATGTTTCCGTGGTGAAACATTCGTCGCGGTGTACTCGCGTCACCGGTTTCTTAAACGAAAGCAAAAATTAATATAACATAATCTAGTAATCACTCCTACCTGCAATGTCGTATCTCGTTTTTACTCGACGAAGGTCTTTCATTACAGGAGAGATGGGAGATGTAATTATGTAATTATCAGAGTGTGTTCTCTCATGAGGAACATTAATGCGCGATTACAGCGAAGCGAAGGAAAAGTGGTATCATGATTGAAGTGCAGGGAAAATAATGATGAAAATTAAATCCTAACAATATCTGGTTTATTTACTTGTTCCAAAGATTACCAGATATTGATAAATATAATAGATAGGATAATACTTACATTGTTAATCGTCGTTCGTTATTGAATAGATTAACGGATAAAATTATAATACTAGATCAACTTCTTGTACACCTTGCAGCTTGTGCGTAAAGATAATATAATTTTTTTCTTTCGCATTTTATTAAAAAATTGAGTATATCCAACAAGGTAAATGTATGTACCTTATAAAACTGTACAATATTTATTTGCTTTGATAAAATTAATTTTTATATTTTATATAAATATAAAATATAAAATATTCTATTAAATACTTCTATAATCATTCGCCAAAACGATACAATTTTTCTATGTATTATTTATACATTATACTAATTGTAAGCGCGAACTATTAATCCTGTTGCGATCAAAGAATATGAGAGTTCTTTCACTTTTTTGCGTGATGTCTTCTTATCTTCATTTTAATAAATGTTACTTCGACTTCACACTTCTCTCATAACTATTCATGGCACAAACGTATCCTTAATCCAAGTAACGTGCTCGTTACTCGATTATCGCTAGTAGCATTTACATTAAAAATATTATATCACTCAACACGTATTAATTATCACATTGACAATATCACAAGACAAATAGCTCGATTTAGCACTAAAAAAATATATTACACTTCGGGACCATGATCTTTACAAGCTTTGCACCTTCACTTAAGCTAAAAAAAATTATTGCGTACAAAATGATAAAATGTATCGGCTGCATCATTGGTCTAACTTAAAAAAAAAAAAAATCTACACATATTAAGACCATTGTATATAACCACTGTATATATTGCAACATTGGTTATTTATCATGAATATTACTAAATCAATATTTATGACTTATTTTGGTTTGAGTAAATTTGTAGAAAAATATAAATTATATATCTAAAAAAATATATAAAAAATATATATTTGAATGTATATATTAGGTTTAGAAATATTAGAAATTTATTTAGTATTAAATTTATTTAGTCCTACAAAAATTGTCATAAATATTTAGCTGCTCAATGTTTCTTTAAAAAATTAGTACTAGATCTATTAATTAACTAACTTGCACCTATATAAGTTCTTACTAAAAATAAATAAACTTTTTTAATGATGGATGAAATCACGTAGCAATACATGACAATTGTATATGTATGCTGCCCTACTAAGAATGCAGTATTTGTAAAAATCTCAAACTGAGAAAGACAGTTCAAAAGTCTTTAATGCAGCCGCCACAACTTATGTCTATTTTATCAATTGTTTAACTTTTTTTCTGAAGTAAACTACCTCTAGAAATCATTTTGTAAAGTTAAAATTATAATTATTACAATATTTAATTGTAAAATATATAAGCAGATACCGCGTTTTTGCTCAGTATATACTTTGTATTCATCATAAAACTGCTGTATCTGCAATTTTCTGGTAGTAGTTTTGACTTTATATCTCTCTCAATAACGGTTTCAAATACGATTTTTTTGCTTGGTCCAATGAATTCCTCGAGATAAAAAATGTCAGAATCGATAACTCAAAATGTAAATTTTTGCAGATACGGCATTCTTCTTTAGCAAGGCAGAATATGAGTTCGCATACATATATATATATATATATATATATATATATATATATATATATATTATATATATGTATATACTCATTGCATAAATTAATGATACACCTAAAGCCATTGAATATAGATGTCCTCCCATTATGAGAACCTATTTATATCGAAAAGTTACAAATTGCATATGGAATACTGTACCTATCCCACTGACATAGCCAACCAGCTGGTGCCGCATCTTGCTCTAATCTTTCCAATTCATGATTTGTATTTGTTAGCCATTTTTGAAAGTAACTGTCCTCTAAGCTACCTGCCGTCCATGCAGTAGATAATGTCTATAGTAAATACATCAATTTATATTAATAAAATTCATATCTATTATCAAACGCTTCAAAAACAATGTAATATAAAACAAATTATAACTTTATATAATTACAAGATATTGAAGTTCCGGGAGGCAGCGACACTAATTTCTGTCCAATTTCAGGGGATGGCTAGTTTATCTTTTTTTTTACAGTATTTGTGTTAAAATATAGCAAAATGGTCATCAGCTGTCACACCACGTGTACAGGACCCGGCAATAAAGTTTTAAATATGTAAAAAAGAATGGTATACTTGACTTATATCAGCAAAGCTGAAACTTTTTGAAATGTTAGTTTACTGCATAAAACGTAAGAAAAATGCAGTCAACCATTTTATCTCGTGTGCGGTATGCGTCAGCTACACATGTAAACGTGTTTAAAAAAATGTAATTAGTTGACTTATATCAGTAAAGTTGAAATTTATTTTAAATAATAGTTTAGTGCATAAAATGTAAGAAAAACGCAGTCACCCAGTTGTCAGAGTGTTCAAATGTCTAACTGACGCGTTTAAAGATGCAGCGCGGCGAGTCGCACGCACTACACCGCGCAATACTATTTACAAGAACACAATCAGCCAGTCTGCGGGGTGTTCAAACGTTCAGCTAACGCTAGGAAAGCTCCACCACGGCGAACGCGGGAGCATCACG